GAGATGAAAGTTACAGGACTCATACATGGTGTCCTCCAGAGGTCTCACAACTTGTATATCTGGGAATTTTTAAGGTTACGTGAGGTCAGGTCGGTCACGTGACATCACTGTTATAAGTCAATGGGGAAATATAAAAACTGTTATTTTGGCGCCGAGAATGATCTAAAACTATCCCACGTACATGGTATCGTGATTTCATGCACTTCTGGCAAAGTCCAATGCTTTTCTTTTGCATTGGTAGCCTTGCGTGACGTCATTTATGACGTCACTAGGGTCGTACGAGTTTTTCGTCAAAAACTCCCGATCAAATGGAGCTAGAGAGTCGGGAAAGCCACCAATGGACTCGGGAAGACCTTCCGAATCGAATGATATGCCATATGATACCCTTTGCCCAGCTTCGTGACCTGAGGGGCTCTGACCTGACCTTGATCCGAGGTCAACTGCTTAAGTTGACCTCACCCTAGCAAAAAGTATACCATTCGATGCACCTGAGCTAGGCGAACACAATGATGCCAAAATCGCGGCTCTGCGGCCATTTTTTGCGAAGTTATTTACTAAAAACCGAACCCGTAACTTCAGTCACTTGACTTGACCTCAGACGCTACCGGTTAAATGGAGACCTTAAAATCGGGTACCAATCGCTGTGACTTGTTGCGGCACACACGCTCGCTTTTTCCGCGAAGCTCTAGCTCTATTAGAAGCGAAACGGCGTGCGGGGGTCGTATCAACCCCTCCGAAACCCATTTTGTTTGCGGGAATAGGGGAAAGTGGGTGTATTGCGCCCTCCTAACCAATTGCGCCCACCAACATTCCCACGAATTCAATGGCATGTTTATAATTTTGTGTTCGAAAACAATATTTTCACCACTTGATAGTTCATTTTATGGCCCAAGCTCTCCGACGAAGCCAATCAGCAGGGCTCAGTTACGCCATCAAAGATATTACGGCGTTTTCTTAGCTTTTTTGCAGTATTTTGAACCGTTGGCTATAAAAATCTGTGATACGTGTGTGATTTTCAGAGTGATATTTAGAAAGAAAGCCCATTTTTTAATTATATTTCACTTAAACAGTAAACTTCCTTCAGCATATTTATGATAACTTCTACGCTTTTATTAAAAAGTACCTCAATTCTAATTGCGCCCATGGCAATTGCGCCATGGGGGTGCAAATAGAATAATTGTGTAGCTATTGTATCACGACAGTATGAATGCACCATTAACTGATTGCAATAAAGAAGGAGTTTAATGCCAGGCAGGGGAGCAGCCCGCTGTCGCCAGTCCGCAAATTATTTCTCTCGTCAAACTTATAATGCAGCTGCCATTTAGGCTGACAACTTGTGGTGTAATTGACAAAATACGGCATTTTCAACATGGACTCGGGCGTGAGAGGTGACAGCTGTGATCAAAAAGTAAAAACTGATGTCAACAAGTTGTCGAAACGATAAAAATTAATAATTTTGAGAGAAACGATTGAAAATTTAACCATACTTTCACATATATCTAGTCGGTTACATAAAACGTTTTCGTTGCACTTTTACAAACATACGGACACATGTAAAGTTATTTACCTGGGCAAAAACATCGCTATTTATTTCTATATTTTTTATTTATCCAGCCTGATTAACATTATAAATGTTTAAGTAAGCCGCAATGACATTACACTGCCGGGGTGTATGCATTCCGTCTCATTCGCTTAGCCATGTTTAAGTATAGGGCGCAATTTGATTCTAATTGCGCCATCCCCCTGGCGCAATTTACAGTGCAGTTGTCGGTAAATGCGCCCTTTTGCATGTTTCTGAAAAGCAGCTGTCGGAAGCAAACGAAACATTCTTAATTGATCGGGAGGCTCTTAAATCGTAGCTAATGAGTTCCTCTTTGAAGTGGTTACCATTGCATGCTTATATCTCCAGCGGTTTTCTTACAATTAGCGTTTTTCCTTAAGGTGGCGCAATTCACCCTCCTTCCCCTATAAGGATTTTATAGAAAGAACACCTTTCTAATTTTTTGCATGTCGACTTGCAATGACATGAAGTTTATTTTGAAAAAAATAAAAATTTGAAAAATTTTGGTCCCAAAGGTCATTAGAGGCAAATGAAAAAAGATTAAGGTTTTTGCTCAACAATGAAAATTTTTCTTTGGAATTTTTAAATGGTAATATTAATTTTTGATTCATCGCAAGCTTAGTGTTGTTTACTGTTTGTTGGTAGCTTAACCCGTTCTTGAGTTATAGGCCATCAAACTCACCGTTACAAACCGAAGTTAAAAAAATGTAATCCAATATAACTCAAAAAGTTTTGATCTGAGAAGTCTGATATTTTGCCAGGCGTCTTTGGGGCCTATGATTACCCCTAGGACGGATTTTTATTAAAATCTGAGAGATGCGGGTGACGGGCCTGGTACGATCTATCGTGGAATGCCCCAGCTGCTATTTGATCGTTCTATTTTCTAGAGATGAGCTGAGAAGTATCCCTCTGTTGGTCCCTGTCGGGACTTTTCAGACTTGTTATTATTTATATTGTACCGGGTGGTCTCAACATGCCTCCGCGATTTGATTTGATTTGCTTTGTTCCCTGCCGTTCTTTGTTCCGTCATCCGTGCGCCTTGTCATCCTCCGGCTTCTCTGGCCAACTCACAAATTCAACATATGCTGTTCGGCACAGCATTCTCCCCTAGATTCCTACCTACTGACCTGCCACATATTACATATAGTCGTTTTCTACCAGTATACCACAACCACCGCTTTTCCATGCGTGGGCGCCGGGCGCAGCGCCTCAGTGTCGCCTCGTGACCTTTCTCCCTGACCCGGATATGCCACTGTGTAGGTCAAGCCGCGCCCCCACGCGTCCACACGCGCCGGGCGACACTCAATGCTGCTCGGTTCCGCCTCGATAGGCTGAGATTTCACTTGTTTACACTGGCGGCGAGTGTTGATGTAGGTGTTTGTAGGCCGTCTTGTTGGCCGCTCGTATCGGCCGCCAGAGGCGGATTCAGGGAGGGGTCACACGGAGACGGTTGAGATTCACCTGACCGGCATGGAACCATGAGCGTCTGAGGGGTCTAATGGGGAAGGGTCTACGCGGGATGCTCCCATCGCACTATAAACCTTATGATATGTCGCAGGAATTGTATTATCTAAATGAGCACCCGGGTACGATAAAGCCAGCGATGTCAGCCAAGAACTATCCTCTCGTGCAGTTTTTTCTACATTTTCTCAATGTGCGCTCAACCCGATTGCACGTCTTCGCTAACCTCCCACCACCTTTTGGCCCACCTGGCGCTGCAGCCAGCTGACTTGTCCGACCACTGCACACTGCACACCCGGTTCCTACTTCCTAATATGCAGTCGATGACGCGTGACTGCAGTGTGCTGTCGGCCAATGTCCGCCTGCCGGGCGGCCCGCTGACCCATAAACGGACGGGCCGGGGCGGCGGCGACAGCGGTCAACGACAGAGTCCGCCGGGCGCCGAGTCCAAATGGATTCAGCGCGGTGTGGTGTGTCGATGGCTGATGACTGTGTGAGAGAGAGAGAGAGAGAGAGAGAGAGAGAGAGAGAGAGAGAGAGAGAGAGAGGGAGAGAGAGAGAGAGAGAGAGAGAGAGAGAGAAGAGAGAGAGAGAGAGAGAGAGAGAGAGAGAGAGACAGAGACAGAGAGAGAGAGAGAGACAGAGAGACAGAGAGAGAGAGAGAGAGAGAGAGAGAGAGAGAGAGAGAGAGAGAGAGAGAGAGAGCGAGAGCGAGAGAGAGAGAGAGAGAGTCTCAGGTAACACGGTTCCTTTACCTTCCGTTGACCCGCCACAACTTTCGAGATAAGTTGTATGCGTTACAAGTTGACACAGATGCAGCACGAGGCGGACGTAATCAGTGCCCGCTCGTGCGCCCGTGTCGATCTGATCTCCCCCTGTGCCGATACGCCGCATAGTGAGGTCAGAGGAGAGGCACTGGTCACCGAACGGCGCCACTCTGCAACCGTCCTATCGCCCCGCTCCGGTCGGCAAATATCGGAGCCGTCATCACAGGTGCCAGCGGCCGAGAAAGCGGGCTGTTTTAGGCTACCGGGTTATCGTGCCTCTCTCAGAAGACTGAATGGCCTGCAGTGAAACCTTGAAAGGCTCTCTTCACGGATCACCTCATCTCAGATTTGATAGCATATCGCATTATTGAATGTCATGATTATCATCATAGTTTTCAAGTCTAGTGTGTAGAACAATTGGGATGTTGAGTATCCCCTCCCCCCCCCCCCCCCACCCCAACATGAGTTAAAAGCACCTGTTATCCTAGTTTAGCTCGAGCTAATTTTATCCGTGCGTTGAAGGTTATCAGCCCCTGTTGACTTATCCGCTATCGCGCCGACCACTAACACGTTACTACCTATCGCTGTTGACCAGCCCCCTTGCCTGCCCAACCGACCATACTATCTGGCCGGACCTATCTGTGCGTCCGGGTTGCTGCAGTTGTCACAGCAGTGTGCGACGGTCCACATCTTCCCCTGCGGTCTGTTTGTGTAGCCATCAGCGAGGGACTAAACAATTTGGCGAACGGACGGTGGTCGCTACTGACGTGAAGTGATTGACGGTGGCAGTGACTGACGTGAGGTGATGACCGCCTGCTGCTTCTTTTTGTGGCGTCCGTGGTCTGTCCGTTGATGTAATGTCCGTGTTTTCCATTGTGAGCTGAATGCTGCTAATCATGTGGCTCCGAAAAGTCACATGACGCTGCATTTTGAAGCTTTGGTGACCGAGGTTTTACCAACGTCAGGTGGCTTATCGCATGCCTGATATGGTGCTGCCTTCTGATTATGTAATTGTAATTACGTTTGTTGTGTGCCTTACCGTCATCCGTTTTGTCATGACCAGTGTTGTGACTTGTTGTGTGCGGCTACTTACCGTGACGTGACCTGGCCTGGCCTGACCTGGCTCTGTGTCCGCTTCCTCCGTAGACGGCGCGGTCGGCGCGCTGTGACCTGCCGTGACCTGACCTGACACCCGTGTCTCCTGCCCACAGACGGCGCGGTCGGCGCGTTCGTCCGCCGGCTGAGTCGGCGCATCAAGCGGGCGGCCATGGCCTCAGACGCGGCCACTGTGCTCGGCCAGGTGACCTGGTCAGAAGAGACAGAGCCGCTGCGCGAGCTGCTCAAACGCCAGCCGGCGCCGCTGCTGGTCAAAGTGGCCAAGGGCCAGTACCTGAGCGCGGCGCCCGGCGGCGCGCTGCTGCTCACTTCAGCCGGCCGCCGGCGCCGCCTGCTCGCCCAGTCGGTGAAGTTCAAGGATAGTCGCCGACTGGCGCCGCTCGGCCCCAAACTGCTCGTGCCGGACTCGTTCGAAGGTCTGTTTGAGATCCTCTCTGAGGAGGGTCGCTCCGTGCGCGCGATCGAGAGTGTCGCTGAGTTGGTGCGCCGTTTTCCCGACTCCTGTATCGCGCGCGATAGCTGTAAGGCGTACGTCTCCAAGTCGGACAATGTGGAGACGATCACGGACCGATCGCGCACCATTCAGAGCGGTGAGACGCTGGTGCTGGTTGGAGAGGTGGTGAGACCCCGCGGCCGCGGCCAGTCGCGTTTCCTACGCTGCTTCGACGCCAGTGGCGAGAACGTCTACTTGCCTCACGAGCAGCGTGTGCGCTTCAGCGCCGTGGCCAAAGAAGAAAACATCAGTGGTGTGCATAGCGTGGCTAATCTGCTCAACAAGCGGCTGCCGCTCAACGTGAGGATGATCAGCGGCCGGGCGCCGGAGCTGACGCGGCTCGGCAGCGGGGTGCCGCCGTTCGCTCCCGAGCTGCGGCTCCACACCACCTTCGACGAGGACATGGTGGTCGCCTCAGCTCTGTCCAGGGACGGCGCGCCGCTGCCGCTGCCGCCGACGGCGCCGCTGCGGGTGCACACGGCCACCAACACGGAGCAGCTGCTGGGACTGGCCGAGTTCGGCCGGCTGCGGGAGCGCGCCGAGGCCGCCTGGGCGGAGGTCGCAGACAGGATCCAGCCGTTCGACCTGACCCTGCCGCCCGAGCCGCGACCCGACTCCAAGGGGCGCGCGCCGCGGCCGCGCGGCTACCGTCGCTCCATGACCTCACCCATGTCGCGTATCACGAGCCGACACAGCGGCGAGCCGACTGACGAGTACGACGAGATCGACCAGATCTACGACTACGTGCGAGGATTCGCGCCGCTGCCGCGCGGCCTGCGACAGACGGTGATGGGAGGCGGCGCGTCAGAGCGGCGCTCCGACCCGGAGCCTGCGGCGGCGGCCGACAGCCCTCCAGAGCCGCCGCCCATCGAGACCATCCCCTCGCGGAGGTCGGGCCACCCCTCGCCGCACTCGCCGCCGGGCGCGCAGCGTTCGTCTCACCCGCCGTCGCGGCCGGTGAGTGGCGAGGTGAGACACCCCGGTGTGTTTGTGGCGAGTCTGGAGCGCGTGGGCGCCCGGTCAGCTCCCCGTGACCGGCGCGTGGCCGAGAAACGCACCCGTGAGCCGTCCAAACCGCAGAAGAAGAGCATGGCCAAGGATGAGAACAAACAGTCAATAAAACTGTTTGCCAAGAGCGGTAACGCCAAGCCGAAGCCGCGCTTCTTTCGGCACAAGAGCGCGTCACCGCTGAAGAACAGCGGGGTGTACTACCCTCTGACTGGCTCGGCGCAGTCGACCGGTCCCTCGCCCATCTTCAACATACGCTATAAGTCACTCAACAACCTCGCGATGGACGTTGACACGCTCAACTCGAGTAATTCAGGCGGTAAGACGTCCGGAGACTCCGGCGACTCGGCCGTCATCAAGGCCAAGCTGCCCGAGAAGAAGTCCAAGAAGCTCGGCCGGCCCAAGTCCATGTCGAATCTCCTCTGGGACGCCACCAACAAACTGGCGCCGGCCGTCGAGATGTACGTGAAGCCTAGTGTAGCAGGTGACCAGGAGAGGACCGTCAAACTGGAGCCGGGCGTCTACAAGCGGCGGAATTCAACAGTCATGCTCAACAACAAGTTTAATAGTCAAAAGAAGGTCGGCACACTCTATTTGTAAGGTGAGTCCAATTACACCGTATTCCTGACGTATGATGGATTTCGCATGATTGGGTTCACAGTCGAGCTGCTCTTATCTAACTACCCCTATTTTATGACAATTGTTCTTGCTCTTATCGCTATCGCAAGGTTACAATGGTGTTTTGACGTCAGTAGGCGACGCTCTCCAGTTTTCGTTCCGTTTCTCTCGAATCCACGTCCATTGATGAGTCCCATCGCCGCTCAGACCCCATGCTCCATTCCGGCTGGCACCATGGTGTGTCCGAACTCCAACCCAACCTGTCCCGGACCCGTAGTCCCAGGTCGACACACCACTCGCGCGTCGGTCGCCGCGCTCCGGGAAGCCTCTAATGACGCCGATCAGTCAGCGCCGCCATCAGAGACGCACCGTTACTCGTCAGAGCGGCAGCCAGGGTCGGTCTCCTGTCTTCTTTTATCGACTATCGCTCCGTCCGCTACTTTACCCGGTCGGGCGAGCGCACGTCATGCTTATACTTACTGACACCGTATAGGTGTGATGTTGGGGCTTACTGAAAAATTAGCCGTTAGTTTATAGCTTACTAGGGTGATTGAACAGTTAGGCGTAGGGTGAACATCCAGTGGTGTTATGGGATTAAAACGGGCGAATCTAGGTTAGCACTAGGACAAAGACGAGCTACTTCGAAAAAAAAAACGGTCGGGCGGTGTCGAACCTTGTGATTTGGCTGTTGATTTAGGATGTCGGTAAGCCAGTTCCGGTTTCCCTATGTGAAGTGAGGATTTGCTTGGATTATCTAGAGGCCGTGACGCACGCACGGGCTAAGCTCGGCGATCGTGGCAGCTCGGACGGACCCCGGTCACCCACCACAGCTCGCATCGGCGCCTGTGCCGTGCCAGGTATCGCCTCTCAGAGCTCTAACGGTGCCTAGTCCGAGAGAATACCGCCCGCGTGACACACTGTCACCGCCATCATACACTCTGACCTCAGAGGGACGGCGACAGGGCGGGACTGCACCGGTCCAGACCAGCTTTGTCCTCCGCGTGACATTCTCACGGTATTGTGCTGCGACACTTGGAACGAGTTTAATTATCCGGAGGAATCCCCGGTCAGGTACTAATTTGCCTCCGCCGGCCGCCAAGGAACTCATCCAGGAAGTCATTTGGGCGGCGTTTATCTTAATGGCCCATTGAACTTTGAACGACGAACGGTTAGATTATATGGCAGGCAGGTAAATCAACTCGGTCACCTGTATTGCGGTGCCATATAGGTTGTAACGACATGACTCGGTTACGAAACTCTTGGCGCTTATAGTTTTCCAACTTAAACCGTCAAGTTACTTCGTCAAACGTCAGAGTCAAGGTCCTCTTAGGTCCCGAGTAGACTCGAAGCTGCTCTATCCGCTGTTCGCCGTACCCCAGCGACTCTCTGAGTATCAGCCCTCCAGCACCTGCACTGAAAACAAATTCACCCGAAGCTGGCGAATTAAGCGTTGCTCTGCGGGTGGTATATGTGTATTAACTCGCCATGTCCAGATTCTAGTTAGAGGGTAAGCAGACTTGCCTGCCTTATTACTCGTAAATATGCACTGTACCCACATTTTGCAGCAAGGTAGCTACCCAGCACCGGATATTGTCCCCGCGGGTGTCGAGTCATTGGCACAGCCCTCACTGAAAGAGTTGGAACTACTCGAGGTATCGTAAACGCGTATCCGTGGATGGCGAACCTTAACATAACCTGCCCTGAAGGAGTTGGATCTACTGTTACAGCTAGATGGCGTTGTCTCATACAGTTTTGAATTACAACAATTTTTTAACTTTTTTTTTAAACCAATGATATGTTGGCACATTGTTTGGCGGTTTCCAAGTGGGGGCGAAAGTACAATTGTTAGGGTGCATCTTTAAAACCTCTGCAATATTCATCACGGGACGATTGGCAACGCCTTTTCTTCCGAAACTACCAAGTGAGACCATTTTGATTCTTATATAGGTCACGAAAGCAGCGGCGACACATCTTCTTGATTTCGGGCGGTTTGCATGACTGCCGGTGACTGAGTCATGTCGAAATTTCTATGGGAATTCGATTTGACCTTTCCCACCGATGTGAAACTTTCTCACCGATGTTTTCTAGGTGTGAGATTGCTATAATATAGATATTTTCCCGCAAATATGGTCAAGTGTGAGAGTTTTTTTTGGCCCTCGTGACTTGTTCGGCGAAGGGTAGACGTGGAGGGTAACCCCATCTCCTAGGGGTTTGTGGGGCGCTGCTGCCAGGTAGGCGTCGATGAATACCTTTCGATGGAGGGGTCGCGAGCCACTGGTGCGCGAATAGTCGTGGAGGGTTACTACTCTCCAGAGTGAATTGCGAAAGTGTTATGTCCTAAATTGACTCCTGGGAGGGTGGTTAAAAATGGTTGCGGATAGGGGTACCCGCGAGGCACCGGTTTACTCGCCAGTTTTGGGTGAAATTGTTTTCAGTGTGTGCTCGTCTGTTCGGCCGATTTGTACCACATGCCCTGCGGTTTGTTGAGCGCGATCAGCCGTGGCATCAGGTCGTTATTGCGCCCGCGGCGTGGATAATTACCAGTGAAAGCCGAGCGCAGCGATGGGCGACACCGGTGCCCCTCTCCCCACGCCCCTGGTGTTCGACCCGGCGCCGCCCGCGCCGCTACCGCCGCGCCGCGCCGCACCACGCCGCGTTTCGCCGACCGCCGCGACGGAGGTCACCCGTTTCCTGGTCGGGGGCAGCCGTTTCGCTTTCGTTTCTGGGTTTCACCGTTGTCGCCGGTGGCTGCCGCGTGCAGACGTGCCGTGGCCGCGCTGTCGCGCTGTGCGTGAGGTCCAGAAGGGGGGGGGGGGAGAGGGGCAGGACAGGGCGGGACCGGTCGGCACTCCTACCAAACCGGCCGGCGATGAAAATGGACCCGAAAAACCGGCCCGGCGCCGGCGCCGGACGATAAGCCCGGTGTTTTACCCGTGTTGATTTGGCCGAGCCGGAGCTAAGTAGTGCGATCATGACGTCGATTGGAGGACAGACGTGGCACTTTCTGTTTTCACTTTTGATGCATGGTGCGATTGTCGCTTTTGTTTGGCTACATTTGCTATACTTGGCTATGCTGACTATTTTGGGCGTGCCCTTTTCTTCACGGATTCCGTTAAAGCAGAATATTCATGGAAAATTTTAGTCGGCCTATCTTGCTTACTGTTATGTACCGTTTTAGTGTCCGATAACAAACCGAAATCATAACGGTAAACGTCGTGATATTATCTGCACGTCGGGTTTGGAAGAAGCCTTCCAATATGCCGTTCAACTCCGTGTGACTGTGTAAAATAGAAGGCAGGCACTGGTCCGCCAGCAGTGCTACGCCGTGTCCGGCGGGGCCAGGACCGGATACCACGCCCCGCCCCGCCCCTCGGCACCCCGCCCCCCGCCCCGCCCCGCCCTCGATCTAACGGTGCCGCCCCGGCGCGCCGGCCGCCAAACAATGGTCGGATGGGACGCTCCGGCAGCTCATCCGTCCAGTGTGGACAGCGGCCGGGGCGTCCACATCCTGTCCACAGCTGGCCACTGCTGTCCACCTCTCTCCACATATTGCGGCTGCTCGTGTCCACCTCCCATCCACGGTCGTCCGCCACGGACATAGTCCTCTAGACAAACAGTTCGTCCACCAGCGCTGACTTGTCAGTGTGCGCTGCCTACGCGCTGAGCTGACGGAAGCCGTGGTCAGTGACCGCTGGTCAGCGCCGGGTCAGCGGTGTCAGCGCGGGTCAGAGGTCGGTCGGCGGTGGTCGGTCGGCGGTCAGCGACCACGTGTCCCGTCCATTGTGTCTGAGACGGCAGTCCGGTCTGGCCCGGTGGGCAGGCGGTGGTCCATTGTTCGGCCGCGCCGCCGCACATACATCAGAGAGGGCGCCGGGGACCCGCGAACGGACGGACCAACGGGCAGATGGACGGACAGAGATACAATCAGTGTCGGAGTGGCACAATCCGTGCCCAACAGCGCTCTTGCATTATCTTCCTTTCCAGATATTATTTACATTAGTAAGCTGAAAGCTCATCTAGGTCCTGTTTAGGAATTAGCTCGCAGGTTTTCTTGGAATGACGTCTCATTTCTTCATCGTCTAGGAAATTACTATATATCCATTTCTAATTAAGTCCTCAGCCCTGTGAGGACAAACAGAAAACCATTCCGTACCGCCGGCTCCCCTGCCGCCGGCGCCGGTGTGAATATTACATGGGCGGTGCCGGTGCGGTCGCTTCCAGCTGCTGTCGTGCCGCCGGCTGCCGCGGTGGCACGCCCCAACCGTCGCGGCCGATGGGACCTGCGACGGGCGCGTGCGTCCTCGTCAGCACCCCTCTCCCCTCCCCCTCCCCCAGGTGGCCTCGGAGGAAAGCCGAGTTTGATCAATGCTCTAGATGGCTTCCGCAGTAGTCCCGTCGCCACCGATTCTGGGCGCGCGTTGCGTCGTGCACGACATGGAATGGAATGGTATATGGAAGAAACGGAACGGAACAGGACATGGGAGACTGACAGGAGTAGATGGGCTGGAGTTGGCGAGTTTCTTGCCGGAACTTGGTCAATATGTAGGTCAACCGGATTCGTAGTGAGTCAGGGTTGGCCTGTCCTTTCACGACTGTGTTACTTCAACACTATTCCTTTTAAAGGGACCCTCCCACCTTAACATTAGATTTGAGTTGAGATAGCCAAAATGGGGTCCCTGGCTCACAATTACCGGTTTCGGCACTCACAACATCGAGAAATGCCTTAAATCGGAAATATTGAATTTCAAAATTGCAGCATTTTGATTCAGAGGGGCTAATGCTTAGGAATACCCCTCTGAATGTGTGACGTCAGCGCAAATATCTAACGATTTTTAAATGTTTGACTAAAACGTTTTGTAGCACGCGGTGGTATATGCTATTTGCGCGCAACATCTGCCGCAAACGCCGCACTTCTAAAATAAAGTCGCTAGAAACAGCGGAGATCCCAAAAAAGTAAACAAAAGTAAAAGTCTAATATCTTGA